AGCTTTCAGAAAATTAGTTTGGTTTCGGGATGATTGGAAGAAATTAAGCAGAAAAATTATAGCTAATTAGGTGACGAAAATGTGGAGAATTGTAATATTCCATATTTCTAAAATTTAAAAGATTTTGCTGTTGCTTGCATTTTGTCTCGAATTTATACACTTGGTGTGTGAAACGAATTTTTTTTTTCAATGTTCTATAATGATGAAAGGGATGGGAAGATATTTATAATGTTTTGTTGGGGCGCTATTTATAGAGCTTTTGTCTGGTTTGAGTTATTTTAATTAATTCGAGAAGACTAGTGACAGTTTTAAACAGATTTCTATTATGTAATGCTTTTATTATTTTTGCATCTACTAAAAAAGTAATAATTTTGGCACATTTTTCAAATTTCCAAAAAATCAAATTTTTGTGATTTAAATGTTGAAATTTTTTTAAATCTCTCTGCGAATTACAAAATTACGTTATTGGGGTTCCATGTAACGCTGATGTCTTTTTCAAACATCAATTTTGAGAATGTTTAGCTCTTATCTAGACAAAGTAAAATAAGCTTAGAGGAGAATTAGGAATGAAGGAATTGGGAAGTGCATGTGGAAAAAATATGAAATTACGAAGAAAAGACAATGTATTCTAAGAGTGAGCAAGAGACGATTAAAAATCTGGAAAGCATACAGAAATGATTATTCTGAGTTATTGAACTAGCGAAGAAAAGATAGGGGGAATATGATGGACGAAATGATAAAGGTTGATAAGAGTTTTCATTATAATATAATAATGTAGAGTAATGATATGAAATTTACCATTAATTGTTTGAGTTTGAGTAGAAGTATAATTATTATGCTTGATTAAAAGACTATGCAATGAGTGTTATATCATTTACGGATTCGATTTCGGGAAACAAAAATATTTTAGTTCAAGGTTGGATATTTGTATACATTTTAATTTTTAGTATATATTCGAATCATTCCGCTATCCTCAAAAGTAAGAACTAAACGGTTACGATTCCTATTCTATCGTCGAAGAGCTTTGGCTCAAAAGAAGGTATGCTTTTTTTTCCTATTCATTTTTTCGATCAAAATTACTTATTTTGCACAAATCCTGTCGTGATCTTTGTCTTTCAATTTACTTTTCTTATCTTCATAAACTTCCTTTTTTATTTGTCTCATTATTGCTTACCGAAGCAAAAGTTATTTCAGTTCGATCCTTTGGAAATCATATATTTTGAGCATTTCTTAAATCATATGTACATATAGATTTTTAAATTACTTTTAGCTATTAAACGTCCAGGGCAAATATCAGTTGTAAATAATTTATCTGAAACATGATGTAGTTAATATATGAGAAAGGAATACGGAAATTCGAAAGATTACACAGTTACGAAATGATCCGGAAAGAATCAGTGTTTTAACTCAACTTAGAATATAGAATGAAAAATACTGCCGAACTGTAAATTGGGTATTTTTTTTCCAATAGGGAAATCGAACCGTTACAGTACAATTAGAAAAAATCTCATGTATGCCTGCTTGTGTTGTAAAGAAAGGAAATAGCTGCTATTGGAAGGAAAAGAAAACATCAATGAGGATATTGATATTGTTCTTGCTTTGTTGCATCTCTTCGAAAATCAATTAAGGAATGTGTTATTTGCCTATGTCCCGTAACAATGCCGCATTCCCATCCTTGTCTGTCCTCATATTTCAGCAGTTTTGTTGATGAGACTTCCGTATCCGGCTTGCTTAACACTTTTATTTATATGCTTTATTTATTTTATTTTTAACTCTTATTTTAATAGTTCCAAAAGATTTCTCGTCGATTTTCTTGTAATTTTGCAGATAAAAAATAGAGTAAGAACTTAATTAAGAACTTAAAAATAGAGTAAGAACTTTAAAATATATATTATAGTTATTGTTTGATGTGATATTTTATGATTTGATTCACCAAATGATTATGTAAGAATCAGTAGATAAATAAATTTTCTTATCTGAAATATTTAAACGGTTAACAAAATCTTTAACAAAAGAGGGGCGATGGAAATTGAATGTATGAACAAAAGCAGCCTTGTCGTAATCAAAGACCGTACGTATACTCTGATCCTAAAATATACTCTAAGAGAGATAGACAACTTTTTCTGATTGCGATTGTTTGTTGGAAAATTTATGATCAAAATACTTTGAGGTAATAATAAAATGATAAATTAAAGCAGTAATTAAAAAGCTTCAATATTGGTTCTGTTTACAAAACATCTTGGTGTTCAGAATCGATAGTCAAATTATTGAACCGGTATACCGAAACTGTAAAACGAGTGATGAGAGTTTGAGATCGCTGATAAAGATTAATAATGATATATTCATATAAGAACTGCTATTTATCCCTTTTATTTGTGATTAATTTAATTGGTGAACTGTACGTATATGTTTATATTCAGTAATATATTGTTTCAATGAAAAATAATTATCTGAAATTACCAAAATTTCTTAGAATGTTGTTTATTACAGATGTCATCAGTGTTGGTTGGTTATACAGATGCAGCTGCAAATGCAGCTCAAGCAGCTTCACTGATAAATAACAGTAAATATCGAGCTTATGTTGCGTCAGTCGATAAGGCACTGAAAGCTTTTGAGACTACTAATGAATGGGCCGACTTGATCTCAGCTCTTGCAAAACTTAGTCGGGTGAGCCAAATTTTCAGTGGCTTCTTTTATTCATTGCAAAGTTTAAACAGTTCGTTTTGATAGATGTTAGATCTGTTAAATATGGCGTATTTTAAGATAATGAAAGATTTTTTGTTAATTATGGCTGTATTTATGCTGCCATTATGTTTCCTGTTGTTCCTTCTTCTTTAGCTCCATGTGGCTTTGATAGATTAAGTCTATATCCAAAAATATGGGACTCGAAAAATTCGCAGTATTAAGTTTTATGAGACTTGAAAAAAATTCGTAATATTAATAAAAGAGAGCAGGTATAAACAGTGTGTTATTCATTTTATTAACTTAGAGTTTTCTCATATTTTTAAAAATTTTATATACAGTTGTTTCTAGTGAGATACATGAAATGTCGAGATATGAAACAAGTGACTGGGACATGAAGTTTTTGGTAATCATATTAATTCACAAAATTCCAGGTATTTCATGCAAATGCAAAATTTGGTGATATACCGAAGCCAGTGACTGTGGCAAAGCGCCTTTCGCAATGCTTACATCCGGCCCTGCCTCATGGTGTTCATCTGAAAGCACTGGAAACTTATCGACAGCTCTTCGATATCCTTGGTCGTAAGGATCTTCCACGTTTGTTGTATCTTTTCGCTGTTGGACTTTTTCCACTGATGGATCACTGTGGAATAAAGGTCTTCATGTTTCATACTAAAATTATTTTAACTGTTTGGATTGAAGGATTCCAATTTTCTCTTTTATAATTTGATAGATACATGTTTGTTTTGAGGCTAATTTGGTAAATTCACTCGAGAATTTTAATTCTGATATTATACTTTTCCTTTCAAACTCTAGATTTTCTCTTTCTTAGAAGGCGATTAAACTTTTTTTGCGAGAAATTTAAATTTCAATTGAATGTTTCAAAGTGTTTAAGGTAAAATCGGAATTGTTGAATATATTTGAACAATATCTCCTTCCACTAGGTGTTGAACTGAAGCCAGCGCTTCCTGGTTTTATTGCCGGTGTCTTACTAGGCCTTGAAGAAGGAACGGAGTTCTATGATAGGTTTGTTAAACATTTTTTATCAATCCTTTTTTTATAGTGATGAATCAATTTTTGGATCAATTAAGTCTGTAACTTTCATTTTTTAATATTTTGATTAATTTTATTTATTTAGATCATTTTCGCTTTTGGATCGGGTACAGGAGAGTGTTGGTTCTGAAACATATTTTGCATGTCTTTGGGAAGCAGTCCTTGGTTCACCGTCTGTTCGGCTTCCGGCATTGATGTATGTAAATGCAAAATATAACCGTCGAAAAAGCATGCACGATCAAGAATATATTATGGGAAATAACATCGATCATATGGTGTCTTCATTGTTTTTTTTCATCTTTGCAATCATGAATGCCTTATATCTTTTGAAGAAAAAAAACTCCTGAACAGACTTACCAAATTATCTTTTGAAGTTTGCCATACATTAATTTTTCAGATAGCGGCACTTTGTGCAGCAGCAGATGATGGTGGCTCAACACTCGTTCAACGTCATTTATTGGACTTTCTATCCTCTGCTTTTCCACTGAATTCCGATCATCTTGTAAGGGAAGATTTTGTCCAGGTAATTAAAAATGTATTTTATATATTTTTACGTTATGTTTGAAATTTAATCATATCAACTATTTGCTATGAAAAGTATAATTTGCGATGTAATTTATTTATTTGTTCTCTAAGCATTTTATAACTGATACAGACTTTCATTAGAGAAGTGTGATTGTGTGAATGCCTAACCTAAATTGAAATTTATAAAAGTTACCATTACTTTTTCAGCTCCTCAGACGATGTCTCTTTTTGGTACTTCGCAGGGATATGAGCTTGAATAGGCGTTTGTATCAGTGGTTGTTGAATCGTGTTGGTGATTCAGCTGTTACGGGATTGCCCGTTGTTGGAGTGGATGAGCAGCTTGACACTGCTTTTTTCATGTATTACTGCTCTTGTTCATATTTTTCATGTTTGTTATTGGAAATGTAGTGCGTAAATTTAGTATGGTGAAAGCTATTTCCGGAATTTAAAATCAGAAGCTAGATAATTTGATTTAAATTTTGATCACATTTTTTACTAACAGCTGAATTCAGAATATATTTAACAAAATTTGTTTAAGCACTTATGCTTTGCCGATTGCGAGGAAAGCGATCGAAGAATATCTAAAATTAGATACAGTTCAAGTAGCTAGTAACCTTGCATCCTGGGATGGCACAAAGGTTAGCCATTTTTTCGTGTTTCGATTTTTGAAGAGCTACTCTTATTCAATTTTGAGAAGTAGCGTTAAAGAAACATATATTTTACTCTCAAAATATTGGAGGTCTTTAGAGCTAATTAACTTCCAAAAATGCTGTTCAATTTTTTTTTTCGGACATGTCTCTTTTCTGCTACTAATTTAGGTCCTAAAAGCTTCGAACTGCAAAATCAGAAAATGTACATTGTCAGAGTGAGTCCCAGTTTTTCATGAATTTAAATTTATTTTTCTTCCAGGAACATCAAATGCAGTATACAGAAGTGCGCGTTGCACGTTTGTTATTATATTTTATGGATCGACCTGAACTAGGCTCTCTTTTTCTTGAAGAAACATTACTCATTTTATTGGAAGCAGCTGCCAAGAATGATACACATTTGGAATCAGTTTTAGTCAAGGTTTGGATTTATTAGAGTGATATGGTTTTAAAATGGTCCATGAGTACGGATAATATTCTGCATCAAATGGGTTATTTCTTGTCACTCATAGCTTGATATGGATTGAGTTTGAAATTTTACATTCAAATTAGCTTAAACTACAATTCTTGCAGGATGAGGAAGTATTGAGTAGAACAGAAAGGTTATCAACTTCGATAGAAACAATTAATGAAGATAATCGGCGGTTTAGTGTTACAAGTAAATCCTCTATCAGTTCCCGGCAATCACGATTAAGTATTCTATCAGGACCGGAAGAGACTTCTGCTGAACAGGTATTTATATATTAAATATAAATAGTCTGTTACATTGTTTACAGTGATTCTATGTTGCACTCTTCGATGCATTATCCACTCAAATATAAAGATTTTCAAAGCTATGCTCACCGTGCTTTTGTATTCTACTTTTCAGATTAAACGATTAGAAGAATTCGGAAAGACAATAAATCTGTTGATGAATTCCCTTGATGTTGGGTTTATTTGGAATTTTCTTGAACGAAAACTGAAACTGTAAATTCATACTTTATTTCATCTGATAGAGACAGCTGGAAATATTTAGTGATATTAACTGTTACGTTATAAATGAATATTAAAGGAGGTGGCATACCGACTGAACTTATTCTGCTTCCGATTATTCCATACATATTGAAAATCTTTTTTAATTCATCCTAATAGAGATAAGCAGTGCATTGTACTACAGTGGCGTTATTGACTGCAAAAAGCATGAAATTCATCCATATAGGTCATCGATATTCAATAAATTTTTTAAAATGTCGAAAAGCACCACGTCATTATCTTGAGTAACATCCAAGTTAAGCAACTGACTTCATAATAATCACTTTCAGGTTAATACAGCAAAAACAAAAGGAACTGCAAAATGGTACAGTAGATCCATATTTGCTGACGAATGAAATAAAAATGTTAAAAGAAGAAGAAGAACGAAGGACAACCCATGAATTGGCGAACTTTCCAAAGGTTCTCATTTTTCCAAATTTGTTATTATGATTTGTTTTTAAATGGAATAATATGCAGAAATCATGTCAAATATTACGGACGATGATTTGCGAAATCAATAATTCTGTTATGGTTAGAATAAAAGTTCCTTGAGGGTTCACTTACTCCAAATTAAGGAAGAAGTTACTTTTGACAATTTCGGCAAAATTAAGCTAATATCTAATATATTTAATGTAAATTCTATTTATAGATAATATTATTTTGTCTAAATACGATAGAACTGGATTCTCATGGTGATATCCGAGAGCAGTACTTACCACAATTATTGTCATCGATCCTCACAACTGTAGCTGAGAAGAATGTTGCATCGATGGATGGTCAACTACTTGTTCGACTTTTAGTCGTCGCAAAAGCAATCCTGAATGAAGTTAATCAAAGTGCTGTTGTTATGGAAACTGGAGGTTAGTAGTTAATGCCTGAAAAAGTTTCCGGAAACATGCTTGAATTTGTTGAACTTGTATTAGTAATACCAATATGTACTAGACATTTAGTGATAAAGATAAATAACCACAGTATAAGTATAATTTGATCCAAAGTACCCAAACGCTTAAGAGCTTTCACATCGATGATTCTGAAGAGTTTTTGGAATCTGAAATTTTATGTTATTTGTTAATTTTTCCTACTTTTTTGACTCAATTTATCTTTCACTTAACATCTTCAAAAAGTCAGGTAACGAAATCTTTGTTGACGAGATTGTGAAATACTTTATTATAAATTTTAGTCGTCACACGAAAACGTGGTGAGGTATACGAGATTGTACGTCACAATGAACTGGAATCAATGGAGAAACCATCCACACAAGGAGACGCAATTAAAGGTTCTTTCAAAATTGATATGTCAGATGATGCAGGACGGGTGGATAAATTGTAATGTTTTCATAATGCATTGAATTCAACCTTTCATAGTATTTCGGAGATATTCATCAAATTCTGAAGTTTTAACTTTTTATTCTAACGCTTTGTAAATAATGGATTGGATTCTAATAATTTAAACTTAGTAACAATCACTCTTATTTATTGTATTACAGAACAATGGCGAGTAGAGAATTGTTTAAGTAGTTGTCAGCGACTTCTTGCACAGATCTGTGATTGGTATTGCAAAGAACGAGATATTGAACGTCTACAAGCATTTTATGCCATTTCAGCTTTGACACGAGAATTTGCCGATTTTCCTCTCTATGATTTAGGTGTACAAGAAACCAATAGTGTGTTTTTATTTGTTAAATGTCATTTATTTATTTATTTATTATATTCTTTTTTATTGTATGTCCAAAATGTACTATTCTCCATTCTCAAGTCGTTTGCATTCCCCTCGTAAAAAAAAAAATGTTCATTAGTTCATATTATAATTCCACAGGTGTGGGATATCTTAAACGACATGTGTCAAGTAACTATCCAGTTTGGTTGAGCGCTTTATTGAGCATATTATCACTAGACGAATGGGATGCTTCTGTAAATTCTAATGGTTTGATTTTGCTTTTTTATTTCTGCTATTCGTTATATATTCTTCATTATATTCTTTTTATTTTCATTCGATTAATTTAATTTAAGGATTTCGGTTTGATTTAATTTTTTTCACTGTGCGCTATCAGATTATTAAAGAACTTACATATTTTAATTGATATTGATCTAACTAGATTTAGTTCTTGGCTTTTTTTATAATTGCTTCTTATAACAGATAATCGTGCTCCTGAAATCCGGGTAACCGATATGTTTGCTCGTGCGAATGCTTTGGATTTAATAACTTATGTCTATGTTAGGAGTATTTCGGTTGCTGAACAACATGCCGCTATGCTGCGACGCCAGAAGAGGTCATTTTCAACCATTTAAAGTTTTCGCTGAAATTCTTCCTCTAAATTTTACATTAGAGTACTTTCTACAAAAGATTATCTTAAATATTCGCTGTGTCTTTTAAATTTCAGAAAGTTTTTATTTTGATTTTAAAGAAACTCCATTACACGCAAACGTGGATCCTTTTTTCAGTGATCTAATTTATGTGACACGAAAATAATTGTAACATAATGCTTGAAAGTTTCAGGGATAGCAAAGAAAGGACAATTATACTATTGAAACCATTAATCTCTGGAGCAGACTTGAAACGTTTGGATAATGACGAAATTTTCATGGTAAAATTGCTTTTTCTGACTAAAAATCATTACGAAGGTGATCAGCGAATGAGTTGAACTGAAAAACTAAATCAATATTAAACGATCATCATTTTTGAAAACTGATTCTTTTCTATATTTTACATGCGGTTATGTCACAATCAGAGATGTTTTGCACCTTGGATTTATTAAAGTGGCGAGAAATATTTACTTAGTTTGTTAATCAGTATTCTCCGCATTTTATTTATCACTCTTTCACTTTCCATTTTTAGAAAGCTGCTAAAATTCTTTGGTCATACTTGGACCAAAGCGACAAAGCATATTATCATGCGACAGCTGCTCGACTACTTTGTTTATTTCATTCACGCAAGTCTTCTGAACCGAGTAGCGATGTGGAAGATTTGATCATTAGCAATCTTACAAGCGTAAATAGAGTATGGAACTTTTTTTATTGTTTTGTGAAATTCCTTTCTTTATTAAAATTGTAAGTGCATAAAAGGGATTAATTTTTAAGTGATTTTGCATGGTAGTATTTTGTTTCTTCTAGGAGCTTAGTTGCTCTGCTGCTAAAAAATTTCGAACATTATGGATGTTAAATCGACCTTCTGCGGCTGAAGAACTCTATCTTGGATTATCATCTAAGCTGTTCAACAGGTCGATAATTTTACAGTCTATAATTTCTTGAACTTTAGTCATAAATTTTCAGTTATATTTAAACATTGAGCCATAAATAATAGATGAAAAGAGAAAATGAAAGCTATGAAAGTCCATAGTACTGATTCGATTTAGATTAGACCAGTTTCGTTTTCTTAATTAGCATGTTCGGTTTCACTTAAGTAATACTGGTTGAAAATTAATTGTAATTTAAAGGGTCGTCATGCTCTTGTTGGGTTTTCTGTCTGATGATACTATTGGCTACGATAAAACAGAATTGAAAAATATTTCTGCTTATTGGTTCAATGATTGCGCTCAGCACTCGGATTTGCCGTATATCTTGCAGGTTCATAATAATTTGTTTTGCAAATTTCGTTCTGGTCATTAATAATTACGAATAGTTTCTATTTTATTTTGCTGCTCTATAATACTGCTATCATAAGCTATACTGTTAACTTCTGCGCCTTTTCAGATTAGCATATATTTTTATCTTCCAGTTGATCCACTGCTAACCTCGTTAATATTCATTTAGAATAGTGAGATTAGTTTTTTCAGCTTATTTTAGGCTTTGTTGAATGTTAAGGAATTTTGCTGACTGATTAAACAAATTCATCATATATTCCAGTTGTGAATGATAAGACAAATTTCATCTATATTCTAGATGTGGACTACTATGCTCCTGAATCCGAGTACTTCACGTGCTTCAATTCAGTATCTCAACATGCACGGTAGAATGAATAAAGAGAAAGTATATATTTATTACTTAGTATTTTAATGAGATGATGAATAACATTTTTTCCTTAACTGTGCGTTTGAATTTTTTTCTTTTATAAATCTAGCAAGTCAGTAGTATTGTGTATAGCAGTTTCAATGTTAAGAAGAACTGTGATTGTTTGAAAGAGTAAAGTAAATGTTGGACAAGAAATTTGCATTTTTATTATGCAATCTGGTGTTCGCTGTAATCTACTATCCTGTAAAATTTAGAAATTCAAAGATAAATTTGGAAGTCTAGATGGAAAATTTCGAAACTGCTGCTCTTTCAGTTTCCATATATACCGTCTGGTATTTGTGCGATTACACTGTTAACAGATGGTGGTCATCAATCATTACATCATTTATGCGAAGATGTTTCGGCACCAAGTTCGAATGAAGCTAAACGACATTTGGCCGAAGCTTCGACAGCATTTGAGAGATTAAGAACCGGAGAGTTCGTTTTTGGAAAATCAATCAAATCGTTGTCATTTCGAGATTTGTAATTAAAAATTTGTTTAGGAAGTTCTGAACTTATTTCTTTATTGTTTTCAATAAATATACTGCTTTTATTTGAGAATCTGTGAAAAAATACTTTTTAGATACCCAGCTTGGTTAACTGAATTACGAAATCGTTTATTGCAAGGAGGCAATGATAGTGGCACGATGGACTTGAATGTAACAAGCGATGCACAAAAGACCCATCGCAGAACTGTATCGGATATACCAATGTTTGATGATGATAATGTACGTTATCCACAATCTTTTTTTGCAGTAACTTTCATGAAAATTTTCGTCAAAGAGTATTGATGAATGGATGGATTAAAATTGGTCATGAACGGCTGGCAAGTATTGAGTTTCTTTTGGGAAACTTGGCACGTAATTATAACATCTATAGAATATCCTATGGTTCTGATTGTTTTTTATGTCAAGTTATTAGTGATAATCTTTTTGTTTAAAGATACAAGGGTTTCGAATTCTCTCTGAATAAAAAAAAAAATCTATCCATATCTTTTTATTAACATTTATATTAGTACATATTGTTGGATATAATACCAAAGTAATTTTTCATTTATAGTGTGATATTCTTTGAAGTATTTTATTTTGATATTTGAGTTTTTGAATCTGCTGGGAAAATTTCCAGACTATAATTGAATGCTTTTTTCGTCTGCTTTCCGAAGTGGTGGAAAAGATGAATTCTTATCAGACAGCAAAAACCTGAAGATAGCAATTAGAACCTGTAAATGAATGTGTTATAATTCAATATGTTATGTATATAAAATATTCTAATAGGAAGTGTATTCCAGGAAGTGTATTCCAGTTATACATTTGTACAATTTTTTAGAATCATATGGACACATTTCATTCGGGTTAATTATTGTGGGAAAAATAGGATACAAGTCTTCTCGTTTATGATGTAATAATTTTCAGGGATCTAGGAATTCGAACAATACTTTGAAATTTTAGGATTCTGTTGAAACGGTATCACTAGATTCGCTGGATCATGAAGTAATGGAAACACTACAATATATCCTTGATTGTATTTGTGCTCAAGAAGAAAGTGAAATAGAATTACAAGCTTGTTTTGCCGGTGAACGGTTGTGTTCTCATGTTCAGATGACACTGATCAATGGTACCGAGATCGAAATTAGCGAAAAAGAAGGATTATCCAGGTTTGTTTTATACCTCAGACTTTTGCGACGTCTTTCTGATTGCTGAATCGCATTAAACTTTTGATTTAATTTGGATTACTCGGAGCAATGATAATTCATGTTTTGTCTAAGCTAGAAGTTACAACACCTTTCAGTTCAAAATGATAAAAACATATCAGCCGGAAACATAGTATTCGAAATGTCCTTACCACATGTTATAACGTTTTCTAACAGTTACTTGAAAAGCGGAATTTTGAAAAATTTCCAGAATGGATGCAAGTATATCACAGAAGAGAGCAGCGGAATCGCAATCATCTGCTTTGGTTTCATCGCGGAAATCTGTCGAGAATGGTCCACCAGTTTCTGAGGGCTTTAAACGCTTCAGAGGTCATCGAAGGCAAGATTCATTGCAGGAAAGTATATTTACGATGTCTGCACAAGAGCTCAAGTGAGACTTCTCATGGCGTAAATTTCAATTTAAATTTCTTAAATCAAGTTTGTATTATTTGATTTTTTTTTCACTTACAATTTTGGTTTTTGCTTGTTTTAAAAGTTAACTATACTTTAACTTAGATTATTCGATACATCGGAACTGCCTCGATTAGAAGCAACTGGCGACGAAGTGCAACCGTTGTGCCATGAACTGCATGCACATATGTTACTGTATGCAGAGAGTGGTCAAACTGTAGATTTAGCGCGTTCTGAAAAAGTATTTCGAATGTTAATTGCACTGATGCGAACAAAACTTAGCTTTCTAACTCCCAGGTTAATTATTAGGTGAGTCTTCTTGAAAATTGAGTAGCCATCCTATCTCTGCTAAGCATTTCTTCCACATATTTTAGATTCATTTTTCTTATGTGAAGTTTGATTTCTGCATTTATATCGTTAACCAAAAAGCGGAAGTTCGAATTTGTTGCAATTGAACTTTTTGAATGCTCAACAAAAGAAATCAAATTTTCAGTTGTATGGTTTCATCTGGAACTGCTTCACTTCCAAAATCTTCATCAAGCGCTGCATCTGGGCAATTAATGGACCTTTTGTCACGTCACATTCGTTCCATATTAGGGCAGGACTTTTGGGCTTCTGAATCGGATAATCCGAGCGGAACCGACACTTTAAAATATAGACATTACACCTTCCTCGAACTTTTTATGACTGTAAGTTTCCTTTATTTTTTTATTTTTCTAATTTTTCAACTAACGGTTTATTTTTTTCTAAATATTTTTAACTAATGTTTCGAAAAGTAAGTAGGGAAACTTGAGATCTTAAACATTTGAAATAAGTCTGAATTCATAGTATCTTTTCTAACAAATTCTAAAATGTTTCCAACCGAAGCAATTTAGTGATTAATTGTTGTTCATTTACAAATGAATTAGTTCAAATTTTTAATATAAATATGTTGCAGATTTCTTTACATTTTCTTCGATCATATTTTCTTAATTCTCCCACTGCTAACGTTTCTGGTCTTGATTTACGCAATGCTTGGAAATGTAAGGTAAATTTTACAGTCACTTAAAATTCAGTTTGGATTTCAAGAATTTCTGCAATCCTAAGATAAAACATTGCTGAAAATCCAGGCAAATAATTGATTTGGTGAATATTTTCACATTCTGTGATTAGCTTACTGACAAAAAAAAGTACACTTCTGCTAAGTGTTTTGCCATTAATGCCAAAAAATACACATATATAATGTGAAGAATATTTATCTTACCGTAACTTGTCAGTTCGAACACTGAGGAAATAGTTGTTAATGTTCATTTTGAATTAGATACTGATTAATTTCGATTGTTTCAGATGGCAGTTTTGGATTTTCTCACTGAATTAGTACGCGGATTAATAGCGATGATCCAAGAGAATCAGTCTCGAGCTTTAGCTGTTTATATTCATGGCCTACTGCAACGTTCAAAGCTTCAAAAATGCTTGTTGCATTCTCTTCTAACTTCTGTCCATAATGTTCGACAACATAATAACGCCGAAATGTAAATTGCATCATTAGAAAATTCTTAAAGTCTTGAGAAATTACAGATTTTTTTCTGATGCAGAGAAATTGGCGCAATTAATAAATATATCAACAATTTTTTAGACCGTACAGCTATTCGGCAGTATAATGTGAGAGAAATTAAGTTATAACTACTAATTTTCTCGAAGTAAGTTACAGCCGCTTTTTGAGGTTTCTTTCATCGTTGTACTTTGAATTTCATTCTTTGTAGAGTTCCATTATCAGTAGATATATTGGAATTCAATGATGGCACTGCAACATCCAGTAATTTTTGTGATTTGATTGTTGGTTATCAAAGCTCATTACTAGATTTAACTGCCACTGTAATACAGCTGGAATTGGTGATCAAAAATGGATTTCAAAATTTCACTGATCAAGTAATGATTTTTCTTGAATAATTTTTTTGGTTAGAGTTGATATATTCGGTTTCAAATTGTTTGTGGAATTTGAAGTCAATTAATATATAGTAAGTCATCAAACAGCAAGTAACAGGGAAATAATAGTTTGTAGACGTACTTTGACGAATAACATATGAATGAATAAATCTGGCTAATGAGATTGTATTAAATAGATATATTAAATAACCAGTTTGAGAATGCGGTATGAAATATCACATGGTAGGTAAAAGTAATACCAACAACGTAAGTTATTGAGCTGTTTATAAAGGTTTCAATTTAGAAACTGAAAATGCGAATGATTTAGATTCAATTTCAAAATAATTTTAGTTAATTTACGATAATTTCAGAATAATAGTGGTATAGATAAACTGACACTAAATCATCAAATTTATAATTCACCACAACATCGTGCAACGCTTCGTGAACCATACGTTAGCATGGTTGAATTGCGTATGTTTTTGTTAACTGTCTTAAATGCCCTCAAGAAACATTCAGCTGAACAGGAACAGTGGCTTACATTTGTCGTACGAATACTCCCATTTCTTGATAGGTTTGTTACACGTATTTTTTATAATTGGAATGTAATAAAATGAAAAAGTAAATAGGAAGAAAAAAACTTTTGCTGGATCCAAGTGGTTTTATGATATTTTTATCAAGTATTGGAATAAAATAAAATATTTCAAAAAGATGAAAAATGTGTTTTTTTATATAATTCAACATTGATATTTCAAAACTCTATTTCTCTGCAGTATGATGGTACAAAAATTTTGCTTCTTAGGGATTATGTTTCAGATCGTTGTCTACATTTTCGGTGCATATTGTCGAACAATTATGCAAGAATCTGGAATCTGCCATAAATGCCGCATATTTTCCTGCTGATAATAAAATGAACAATATTTCGTCGGCTGAATCATTTCCTGTCCGTTCTATGATCAATCAGGGTAAACCAACATATCCGACCAATTATGCTATCGGAGTAAGCTTTATTGTATGCATAACCTTTCTCTAAATCTGATCATGTGGTTCATCAAAATGTTTCTGATTGCATTTCATCAAAATGTTTATTGACACCGTTCGGTGCATTTGTCTGTTCCACCTTTACTTTTGAATCCAATTTTGGTTAAATAGGGCGGTGCAGAACTATTCTAGTAAATATATTTTTCAACTCTGGTGGAATCTGAACTTATTTATGCTCTGTTTATTTCTCAAAATTTGCTTATTCATACATTTAATTGTTGAGTTATTAATCGAAACTATTGGACATGCTTAACTCATAACTACTTATTATCCTGTTTTAAAAATCTTAGATTCTTTTTTTGATTCATTTAGCTCAAACGAAAACTTACAAAATTTATTTTTTCAAACAGAGTCTTTCTTGTAGATATTGGAAACGTTGAATATGTTCTTTCATTATTGCCTTATCGATAATACATCTCAAACTAGTGCTACTTTAACACTGGCCAATCAACCTTCACAGGTATCGCTTACTAAATTAAAATACAGTATCGGGTTTTTTTTTTATTATGTTATGTAGATGACAAATGTTACGCGGTTAAAAATTATGAGTACCTCGTAAGAGCTGATGATATCTATTATTGTTATATTGACTAGTTAAAATTTAAAACTGATTACCGACAAATAATTTATGAGTTGTTTTCAGGTTGTAACAGTCAACAATCCATCGTTGGCATCTTCGGTAATGAATGCGATACCGGGTACACGTGGCGCTACGGAGCTTATTTCCAATCTTGTTAAAGTTTTCTCCTTCAGCGATAGTACTAATGGGGTAAGTTAATGGAATTGTTAAAATTAAGTTTGATTAACCCTCATGCACTCCTGTCATTACAGTTCAAATTTGAATTGTAGTCATCGAATGCGGCACTCAATAAATTTACTGATCTCACGACTGATGATGTTTGGAAGCAAGCGCGATCTGATGTACTTAATGCTTTTCCACATGCCCTTGCGACGCTTTGTGATGTTTGGACACAGTTGCGAAAAGGAGAACCGAATCTTCCGATTGGAAATCCTGTGGTATTTACAAGCTGTTTTTGAAATTACATTGATAATGTTTGCTTTGCACTTGTTAGTCTTTAAATACTGTACAGCTCCGCTGGAATGGTAGGAATTTTTTTTATGAGCAAAACGCGAGAAAAATTTTCTATTATTCAAACATTAGTGCTTTGAAACAATGTTATAAATGTATTTAGATAATGCGCCAATTAATTCTTGATTTGCTTTCACCAATAGTGCAACATCATCAGCAAGCATTTTTATCATCACTTGCATTGGTGTGGATGACGCGAAGTTCATTAACATCACAAAAACAGCTTACTACACGTGCTGAATCTGATCAGGTTTTTTAGATTTTTTCAATAGAAAATTTTGGTTTTATACAGTAAAGTTGATAATTTTTGACATTCCAAATTGCAACATAAAGTACTGTTCCCTGATAAAATGATACATTTATCCGTTTAATTGAAAGATTTTCATTATTTAGTTAAAATAGAAAAAGATACCGAAAGATACCGCTTTTTCGCTAATGGATTATTTCATTTCCCTTACTTTTAGTCATCATTTGATTATTCACCGGCACAACTCGATATTGCGGATCTCTTGCTCAGTATCAAAATTCTTCCATTCGAAAACCTTATTTCTACGGTTGCTGAAGCATTGAAGGAAAGTGCATGGAAAATCGTAAAGTCAGGTGCAGCTCTAGAAAAGGTGATTGTTTTGTAATAATCGTAAATAGTAATCATGCTAATATGCAAAAGTATAAAGCGTTAATTCCATCTTTGAATATACTTATAAAGGATTGAGACTTCGTAACTCTTAATTAACATCGACTTTTTGAGTCATTTAAATCATTGGATCACAGATCCATACCAATGTTTCAACTGTTTAACTTCCACCTATTCGGAATTGATTACAGCAAAGTGCTTTCCCAACCGAACTTGCGCTGCTGGAAATGCTTCATGGTTGTGTTAGAGCTACACCATCCACTGCTCTATATAACTGCTGGTCTTCATTACAAGCATTGTTTGTGGAATCTCCGGTTATGTCACTACCACCAAAGGCTGTTTTTATCCAATTCATGTAAATTTTAGTTTGAAATTTAATTAGTTTTATGGAAATTACATGCTAATGTATATTATTATTTATTCTGTTTCACTGTAAAAAACACAGGACAAATCTACTGAAATCCAAATAAATATTCTCGTTTATTTGAAAGATCGACATATTTCAGTTACTGTACAGTGCTTGCTATTTTTTTGTGTTTAATTTTCTCCGAGTTTGATTTTATCTTCATAAATTCCAGTATACTTGTGGATTTCGTACAACTTGCTACAAGTTCAGTCGTTGTTGAAGATAAACAGTTATCGCGGGCTGCTCAAGATGCATGTCAGAAACTTACGGAAGCTATGAATGTTATAGTTGGTTGGCAGTTAGAACAAACTACCTGGTTGAAACGGACATTGGTTGTCAAACATGATTCATCCGGTGAATATTGATTTATAAAATATTTAATGCGTGGAGAGGTAATTTATCAAAACACTTAAACAGGTGCAAAAATAAAATTGCTTCTTGGTTGGGTTAACGAGGAGGCGGTTTTGTTTTTGTCAAATATTTTTGAGATATATATTGTAAACGGTTTGAGGAATGACCACTCCACAAAATTACTATTAAAATCTGGTGAAAATTGAATTAGTTTTCTGTTCTGAGCCCAGAAGTAATGAAATTCCAAGTCTCTTACAGCGCAAAAGTCGCAAGAAACATCGCCAGTAGTAGAGTTCGTCACTGCGCCAACGTCACTGGCTGCTTCAGAAAATAGTTCTTTACGTGGTTCCACATCGTCATTGGTACCACCAAGGTTAGTTAACAAATGTTTTTATGTACTTGAAAATCTATCGAATTTAGTGAAAAAGCTGTTGCACAGTATGACATTATTGTATAAATAAATATAATTTTCAAACATTTAACATCTTTACATCACTGGATCTAATCACATTCAGGATTCCTACCTTCGATACAGCTACGCAGATATCAGTTTCATCTCAGGGTGCATCAACCTCAGCAGTCGAAAGGCGGAGTATATCAAATATACGATCAAGTTTGAAAGATCCAAATAGCTTGAAACGTGATCCGACTCACAGTACTCAGGCTTTATTCCTGCTTGCCGAGGTTAATTTTTATTCATTAGATAGTTCTTTATTGCTTTAAGTTCTTTCGTATAAATAATTAAGAAAGAAAAGCAGTTTAATTCTTAAATTTCATAAGACAGCGGCTATAATAGAAAAATGAGAGATGTTTCTAGTGTGGAGAATCGGATTGAATATCATTTTATTACATGGATTCTTTAACTTTTAAAATTCTTTCGTAGTCATTTAATTAAGTGATGGAGTGTATTAGATCGATGATTTTTTTTTTTAAATTTAAGTATTTCGAATCATGAAAAATAATTTTTTCTGAGGTCCCTTCAATTTCAGCATTTAGCCGAATTAGTTGATTCGATATGTAAGAGTGAAGATAAAGAAAGATTGTTGCCACTGCTTCATGCTGTTTGGAGTAATACGCTGCCATATTTGAAAGCCAAAAAGTACGCTTTTCCAGGGGAAATTAAATATCTTTGGCGTTTTCTGTATAGTACATGACAATATTGCTAGGTCGAATATTTAATTTTTGTTTCTCGAATTCCATTGTTTATTGGAAATTTAAATAACAACATATAACCTCGAATCGTGCTCACCATGCTTTAATACTATCTAAAAGCCCTCTATATATGGAAGTGAAACGCTGTGATGAATTTTTTACTTAAATAAGTATCAAATTTAAAGCAAGATTTTTTGATTCAAAATTTACAATACTTGAATTCTTAGGAACAATTTTCGGAGGTTTTCTTGAGTGCTGTTCAAATTTTAATTTTGCAATTTAGTGCTCGAAATGCTCGATTCTTTCTTGCTAGTTCGCAATTACTAGCATCGATGAGTACTTTCAATTATATGCGACCGGTGTGGCGTAAAGCTACTTTGGATCTTCTGCTTGATCCAAGTAATTGTTTCATAACTTACCAGATTAATTGCAATTTTTTTCATTAATCTTGATTCAAATCAGCACAATTATGTTTAAAAAATATCCTTTTTTTCACTTTTTCAAAAAAGTAAGGATTGCTATTTTTTTAACGAAATTACAAATAAGCGTACAAAATATAACTCTTTACCAAAGTTGCCGTAGGATTATTTTGTCATTGATGTAAACTTATAGCATTCTTCAAAATGGATATGCAATCATTGAAACATTGGTTGGTTATAACGGATCATTTGATGACTCACGACAAAACATCTTTCAAGGAATTGCTTGGTTTGTTTTTCAGCAATTGTAATTTGTATAAGAAATCAATATTTCGTAATCCACAATGTTATGTTTTTAAGAATCATGAAGTTTGTAGCATCCAATTAATCGTTAATTTTTCTTATTGTTTTGGTTAAACTTGTTTATATACAGACGCAGTTACAAACTTGTTGAAAGATATAACTCATAAAAGAGGTTAGTTAAGGTAGTTACTCTTGCACCAGGCATTATGTATTTCTCCTTCACGTTTTTTCAGAAAATTGCATTTTTCAGGAAGGATTTCAACAGCGCAAAATTCCGCACTTTCAAGTTTGATAACTAGCAAAGAAGCCGAATATGAAATGCGCGCTCAGGCACTCAAACGTTTAGCATTTATAGTACTCAGTTCAGAACTTGGTCAGTACCAAGCTCAGCTGCCTGATATACAAGGTAATTCAAATTTTATAATTTTTTTACATTTCAAAGGTCACTTTTGTATTATTTAGGTGTTAAGTATATCAGGCTGTTTTCGATATCTTTTGTACAATGAAGATAAAAATATCTGAGAAAAATCACGTACGGTAAGGCCCCAGAGAAGAAATTATCTTGTAAAGCTTTTTAAAACGAATTAATATGTAAAATTACAATTTTTCAGAACGTTTGTCAGACAATTTACGTTTATCACAAGTTCCAATTGTTCATGCTCAAGTGTTTCTTTGCTATCGAGTTTTGCTTATCAGGCAGAAACCACAGCATCTTGTCAGCATGTGGCCTTCGATGGTTACAGAACTGGTACTATATATAGTTTGTTGATACAGAGCATTATTTTTACTAATTTCTTTTTGAATTTGTATACCAAAATTTCCAAAATTGGTCGGTGACTCAAACCAGTCATTGATTTTCAACGATATCGAGGCGATAAATTTCAGGTACATGTATTATTACAAATTGAACAACAACTATCAGGTACGACAAATGTTTCGGATGATTTAAAGTGTGATCGTAATGACCAGTGGATGCAGTTGTATCTTGCAGCATGTAAACTACTCGAAACATTATGTACACTTCCTGCTGGTTATTTGGCACAATTTCAAATGTAATAAGTTTTGAACAATTTTAATCATTGTATTGTGCTGGTGGGTGCAAATTTTTGATTTTTGAATTCTAAACTAACCAAACATTGTGTACATTTTCTTACCGCAAGATTTGAATTGCTAATATGTCAAATTTACCAGATATGCGTGTCATTCTCAACTAAAGAGTGGAATGTATTTTCAGGTGTCACTGGGCATTTGTAAATTCTGTAGCAGCAAGTGATATCGGTTCATTCGTGCCATTTGCAAGTCGTATTGATCGTTTGCTTCGTAATAAAGTATGTCTGCCTCAAAGTGTTTTAATCTATTTTAGAATTTTTTTTTCGGTTTTTACTACATGTGTTACTGCGTATGGTTTTTCAGTTTTTTACTTAATCACTAATTTTTATTCAATTTCAGTATGGTCAATTATCGATTCATGGTCGAAAATTTATGTCTGCATCATTGGTTAATGTTAAAACGCTTACAAGCTTTAGTGAGTTACGCCCATTCTTCTTGGCGCTAGCAACCCAAAATGAAATGCGTGCTTTAACGATGCAATCTTCTTTTGATAAGGTATCTCCTTAAATTTCAAATTCAAACTTCAACAGAAATTTTGAATTTCGTAAATTTAACAAATATAAATCTATAATATTGATTATATTATAAATATGCAGACATAGAAGAAAAATAAATACTATTATTTCTGAACAAACGCTTCATTTTTTGTTGTTTTTAAAAATAATACGTATGTCGCAGCTATTTGCCAAAATTTAGCAAATTGTTCACATACTCAACTATATGAAATCAGATATGGTCATTTCACAGGATTATATCAAATCCTGAATAAAATTGAATGTGTTATCTCTGGATAAAGAGGAAGGAATTTCAGGAAGATCAGCTGCGAGATGCTCACTTTCTCAATGGTTCATTGTCTTACAAAGCTGCAATTAATCGATTGGAACATGCATTATATGTTGATTTTGCGGAACATTGGCAGTTATAACTATATATTTAGAAATTTTGCAATCTTAACACTTATGAGGTTGTTTAATAGGGAACGTGAGCTATTGTTCTTGTTATTTATCGCTGCTTTAGAAAATTTCATTATTTAATTGGAAGAGAATTACTGCTTGAATCTCAAGCGTGCTTTTTAATTGATATATGTTATTTTTTTGTTCGGGTAATGAAAATTTCTTCATAAAATATGTGATATAAAATTAATTTTCGAGTGTATTTTTCAATGAATTTTAAATAAACCTAAGAAAAAAGCTATTGTGTGGGTGTATGTTCCTTTTTCTTGCCAACGACTGTATATAATTTTTATATGAATTTTAGCACGGCTGTTGTCATGAAATTAGAAATTCTGTATTTGTATAATGTGTAATTATTTCTTTCTAGAAATGGTCTGCCAAAGTATATGCTGCAGTTGTTGCCAACCAAGTAGGATTTTGAATTTTTAGGATTTTCAGTTTAGCTTGTACAGTAATAATTACTTGGAAAATTTTATTGCAGAAAATCATTTGTCGATATTGTGTACGTATTTATTAGAAATATTTTCAATCATTTTACTCTCTATTCAGATCAGTAGATATTTTGCTTCATTCGTCACCTATTATGATCATCGTGGGATCATTTGAAAATACATATAATCAGCCATTTCTTGTCACCTGGAATAACCGATTAATTTGAATAGCTGATTAATTGAGCTGTCAATGATTTAATTGACTTTTAAAAAAAATATGGCAATAATTGCATTATTTCATCACTATTCTTCAATTAAAAAAAGAGACTACGCTTCTGAAGAAATCATAAATATCTATGGATTTAGTTATTCTTCAAAAATTTGAAACTGATAAAATGCTTCATTATTTGCCTTCAAAGATATGTACTACGGTGAATATTGTAATGTTTATTCCCTTTTTCTATTCATCGTTTTTTGTCTTTTAAAAAATGCTATTGCCCGAAGTTTTATTTTTTCTCTTTTTTTTTAAAAAAAGATTTATTGCTAAATTTAAATAAAGAAAATAGGATAACATAGCTAAGAATTATATATCGCAGTGATATTACATTATATTGTTACACGGAACGGGTTATTTATAGTTTACTTAATTTGCAACATGATAATGTTTTAAGTAAATATCTAGCAAGACGATAAGATAGATATATCTTTGATGGATCGTTTAATAATCAAATATCATCGTAAATTTTTCATTCTTGAACAGAACACTATACTAACTATTACAGATTCGTTTTGCTTATTTGAAATTAATTTTGTACATTATACTGGAAAAATTATGAAAGAAATTATTACTGTGGTAATTAATTTAAATTGTATTGCTTGAAGCATGAAATTGTATGAAAAAAATTTATTTCCTTTGCATAATTTTTACATTTATCGGTCTCTGTTTGTTTTTCGAACGCTCTGCTGATTCTTTCACACTGTTTTTCGAATGCTCTGCTGATTCTTTCTCACTTGGAAATTTCCAGTAATTTGATTCGGATAAGATTTCACTAAAAAATGAAATCCTTCATGTTTTTTTTTTCACATCTTAAATGCAAGAAGCACCAAAAAATTTTTATATTTATTCCAATATATTTTATTTAACTTGTAATAATTATGTCAAAATCTTTTGCCAAGAAGTTACATCCTTTAAATTATTAATTTTTGATTAGTTTTGAGATTCGTATTGCTTGTATTTTGTTATCATCATTGTACATTGATAATAGCAGTGATTCATCACCGTTAAATACATTTAATATTTAAATCCACTTTTTTTTTTTTAAATAGACATTTTGCAGCAAAACATTTTTAAGCAGTAATTGGATAAAGAAAATATTTTGGCAAAAGTAAAAAAAAAAAAGGAATTAATGCGATGTCCGATTGCTTCCTTTTTTTTGTAAAAATTTCTTAACGGATATTATTGATTCCTTGTCATATTGAATTAAAAAAAGAGAGCTAATCTATTGTGTCCCCTCTGGACAGATTATAAAAAGAAATGGAATATTGGAAACAAATACCAATAGTAGTGATAATAAACTGTTTTATTTATTATTCATTAATTTAAAAAAAACGAGGTTTGAGTAAATAAATTAATTGATTAAAAATGAAAATTCATAAGTGGGTGATTTCAGCCAAAACTTAGTTGAATATATTACCTATAATAAGTAAAAATATAACTCGATATTTTATATTCAATAAAGTAAACCGTGTCAAAGCTTATATTTAAAATGATTCGGAAAACAATAGGATGTAAATCCGGTTTTATTTGAAATATTTGTAAACATAAATGATGCGTTATTTATTCGTCAAAATATTGCACACTTTAAATTTTGAATAATTTTAGAATCCATTTTTATAATTAATACATACATATGTAATAGAAGAATGTAACATGAAATTTAATACAGCAAAGTAAATAGTATTTTTCTTTAATGATAAAATGAACATTTTCTACCATTTTTCCTGAAAAAAATTTTTAAAAGTTTTTATCTCAAACTACATTAATGTATCATTAAATAATGTGTAAATATATTGCCCCATTTATTCGTAATAATTATTACTTATACATTCTAATTGGATATAAATAAATGAATAAAGATAATAATCATAATTATGCTTAAGGAAAATCACTATTATTTTATCATTTTTTAGCGTACAACGGAAATTACTGAAATATTTTTTGAGCCCAAATGTGTATACTTAATCAGGAGCCGCAAAAAAAGGAAATATGAATGATAAATGAAATATTAGCAGTAATTTAAATAATTAATTTGATTTAGAACTTTCATAACTGATGATTATTAAATACGAGGATTATTAAAGTTAAACTGTTGTTTGATTTGTAGAATTAAATGAAATATATCACACATGTACACACATCCACACGCATACACATACACACATACACACACATACACATACATACACATACATACGTACACATACATACATACACGTACACACATACACATACACATACACGTACACACACGTACGCACTACACATACACAAACACGTACGCACATATATACACACACATACACACATAGAGACACATATGCGAGCACACACACACATACACACACACACACACACACAC